CTTGATCCTTTTTTTGGTAATAGGAATCGAACTCAGGACCTCACGCTTGCTAGGCAGGTGCTGCACCACTGAGCTACATCCCTGGGCCCCTAAGAGATTCTTATGTACCTTCAAGTTTGAGAACCAGATTCTGAAGCCTGTCCTCTTAATATGTTACATTAATTTATATTAACATATATAGTTGTTTTAAAACCATGTATGAACAAAACTACCACTATACTTGATAATTTACTAATAGCTGAATAATTCAATTTTTAAGCCTATATGGGCCCAGTGTTAAGTCCCAAACTCAGCCATGGGTACTTTTTGAGATGTGGATGAACAAACTCTTATCTATATGCTTGCCAGCATCAACTACATGCTGCTGACTAGAAAGTGAACTATGCTACAAACTACAGCCTAGAGGTCTACTGCAATCTAGCTCAGCAAGAAAAGATGTTCACATTCCCAAACTTACCATGACATGTACTCTAAAAAGGTTGAGGGCCATGTGAGACTCTTCAGGGTAAATGTTTTGTGACAGAGATGATAGCAAAAAATTTTAAGTTTCTATTCAAGGACTGTGCAGGAAGTAGCTAGTGATTTATGGCCCTGGACAGACCCATTAAATTGGAAGCAAGGAAATAGAGAAAAACATTAAAGGTAGACATAAAACTAAGAATTTTCTCTGAAGGGAAATCAGAATTTTACTTTGGATCAGTTACTTAACAACTTACTACTGTGATTTATACTTGTGCTGTAAAAATTGAGTATTTGGCACCAACATATGTGCTTTAAAACATACATTTTTACAAAAACCCAGAAAAAGCAAAAACAAAACACAGGTTTTGTTATTTTGGATTGGAGTGATGAGGATACCAAATGCAAATGTTCAATGCAAATCTCCTGCTTCTAGCTGCAAACAGTATCAATAGAATATTAAGCCCTTAATACACACAGATTTATTCTAGGACGACAAAAAACTTGGGCATGATCTAAAGTTGACAAGTTTACTCCATCTCATATTTCACCAGGGCACAGAGAAAAAAAAATGCCCCTCAATATATGAATTTCTTATCCAAATCTACTCACACAGAAAACTTCAAATTCTGAAAAAGGCTTCTTTAGTAAATGTCCTGTTATCAAGGCACAAAAATCTAGGATCACCTCATCCATTTCCTAGTGGTTCACATATGCATTGAAAACCACATATGTATGTAAATCACAAGTGTTTTCCATGATTTTACTGGGAGACAAGGCAATCAACTGTTTTTTTGCTTCAGAAGAAACTCTATTACAACAGAAGTTAAATTAAAATACAGAAAACTCTGGGAATCCTATTTAAAGTAACGAACTAAAGAAAACACAGCCTAAACCACCAAAAAGAACCACTGTTAGCATTTCTTATACTATATAAAAGATTGACCCCTTTTTTTTGGGTATAATTTTTTTCTTTTTCACAGGAATGATAATAAACAGTATGCTTCTAGCATAAACAATGGGCAAAAGATTAAGTGGGCTACAAGGCAGCCTCAAGAACAATTATGAAAAATGTTTAGTTGTCAGAAAGATGTATTTTACCACCTTAAATGGAAGTAAAGACAGTTCAAAATTTATGTAGGTTAGTCCTCTATTATTTGCATGCATTTCCAAATTCACAAATTAGCCCACAATCTTTTAAGTAAAAGAGCAAGCATTAAATAATCTTACTGATAAATTTTAAAAGGTTAAAGGAGGAGAGGAAAAACACTAACACTAAAATACTAAAAAAGAAATTAACTATAAAAATTAAAGCACTATAAAAGCAGCATAACAGGCATTTTTCTGTCTCTTTTAACCATTATCATCTGAGCTGTTAAATTTTAAAGCACATAACAATATCTGAGATAAGACTGAACTGACAGTATCAATATGAAGGTGTACGGTTTATTGCTTTTCTAGAAAAACTCATACTGTATATACTAATCCCTCTGTGTGAGCACCACCTAGTGGTCAGGATGCATACAAATGGCATGGATTTAGGGCCATCCAAAAATTAAATTATAATAAAAGAAAATAGTTCCTTTGCTCCAGGAGTGTGGAAACAAAGTTGAAGTCAAAGGGTAGTTATTATTGCTACTCCTACAAAATTCAAATTGAAAGGCTCATATTTGCTTATGCCCATTCTCTTCTTACTCCCATTTCTCATAATTTTTGAAAAATTTAAGCACAGGTGGTAATTTCATTGTATACTCTTACTACTATTAGATGCAATGTGCCTAGAATAGAAGACATACTAACAGATAAATTACTTCCTCATATACTCTTTTCTGATTTCAAGTACCCCATAACAATGTTACTTTGCATATACTCGTTAAATTTTTCTTTGCCATTGAAGAAAAACACAAAATATGAATTCTTTTGTTTCCTCAGTCATCACTGCAACTTCCCACATAGCTATTTTCCTCCTGTCACTTCATCTAGATTTCAAACTCTTGAAAAAGGCTTAGGGTTTGCTTATTTGCTAACTTTACTTCTCAAGTCAGTCTCCCCAAATCCCAACTCATTTTTAGTTTTTAGAATCTTGACACTCTTCTTACCCCCAAATTTATCTACCATGTTGTTTTCTTCTACATTAGGATTAAAAACAAAACAAAACACATTATATCACTAATTGCCTTCTTCAGACTCTTCCCACTGTTGACCACAAAGTTTCTCTTGAGTCTCAAATCACAAAATCATAATTACCTTTATGCTAAGCACTGAATAAGTTGACTCTAATCACAAATCAAATTTCCCTCATTATTGTAGTACTGAGAACCACCACCAGCAGCACAAAACTAAAAACTGAATGGATTATTTCATAATGGTAAATACTTCATAAGGCCACTCATTAGTTCAAGACACAGGGCTCTATGATTTGTCCTCACTTCCTAGCAAGTACCCTATGTCCAATAAACCTTCCTGCACTGATGAAGTTTCCTCAGATTATCACTTTTCACGGTAGTTCCATCACCTGCCTTGCAAGCTCAAGGACCCCAGTTCGATCCCTGGTACCAAAAAAAAAAAAAAAAAAAAAAAAAAAAAAAAAATAAATTATGACCGTCCACAATTTTTATGTATTACTCCAGGATCTGCCCCTTCAGTGGCTTACTCAAATGCATTCTTTCTTCAGAAAACTCTAATAACTTAATTTTTTCCTCTATTTTTCATGTAACATCGTATGTGTTATAACTACTTTCCATACAAAATACTAATTTAGAATTATTAGCATAATAGATGTTTAACAAATACATGTATTTCTAGTATATAATAGATGTTTAACAAATACATTTCTTGATAACTAATATTCTAGCAATTTTTAAAATAAGCATTTATTAAATTAATTTTATTTTTTAATAAAATTAGCTTTTATTAGAAAGACCAAAGCACTCTCTGATTTATATTCTACTTAGCAAACCAGTATTCAAATATATTTTTCAAATTAAAAAAATAATTCAAATACTGAATTCTATGGATATCCTAACAAGTTCAATCCAAACCACAATACTATAAAAATGCAAAAGGTCCCTGTCCTGGCTTAAAAAAAAAAAAAGGTTATTAATCTAAATAACTGACCCTATATTTTATTTATTTATTTATTTATTTATTTAGGTACCGGGGATCAAACTTGGGTCTTTGTGCTTGCAAGGCAGGCAGTGAACCACTGAGCTAAATCCCTGGCCCTGGCCCTGGCCCTATATTTTAAAATGAAATACAATTTACTGTAGAGTTTCTTATACATTTGTTCTCTTTTTATCTTTAAAAACCATTGAAATTTGCTTCGTGTCAAATTAAGGTATCTTTTTCTATTTTGGTTTCCTAAAAGAAGCTAAAGGAACCCTAAATATTTTATATAATGTTATCCCCCCACTCCTTGTCTGTTTCATCCTAGTATTTTATGAGGAAACTACCACTGCAAGTAATCTATGTGTGAAGAAATTTCAAAGGAGATCTTAATAATTTTAAAATTATAATTGTATCAGAATACACTGTGTCAAAAACTATCAAGAACTTAAATAAAATGTTCATATGCTTTCACCCAGTAATTTGTCTTGTGGAAGTCTTTCAAGAGGAAATAGCCAGAACACTTTTTTTTTTTTTTACCCAAAGACTGTTCACTACATCTTTTTTTAACAAATAAAAACGGAAATAAAAAGTATCTATGATCAGACATATCCACCAAATAAACTATGTAGTATTATATATCAAAATTTAAAAATTTGAATTTAAGTTTTAAAAACTGAACACATACATAAGTGTGATTTAGAAAAAGATAAAAGAATTGAGATAATTTATTTTACTATGAATGCGAATCTGTGTCTACTCAGTCCCCAGACACAAATCAGACAACCAAAAAACCAAAGTGGGGAAGGATCATTTGCCGTACGTAATAGCACCAAGACTTTTAAATAACTATTTCAGAGAATGATGATGTTAATACTTAACAACAGAAAATAAAGTGAAAAAGAATAAGAGAATGGCCTAGAAAAATCTCTGGGTTTTCAGTTGCTTCTCAATTAGACCAGTTAATTATGACCACAACACACTAGGATGCTACTTTTCTTGATCTTACCAGAATGTGCCAACAAAGGTTTATATATAGTTGCATAAAGATTGCTACTCAACTAAGGTGATGATAAAATTCCAGCAATTATACAATGTACTATATATCAATTTAAAAAAGGTAAAATGCGAAAAGGGTTTGGCTTATAATTGACGTCAAAGAATATTTTAATTGAAACCATAATCCTTTGTCAAATATGAGTATTTATAAGCCTCTGTCAAATCTGTTTATAAAACGCTGTGAAGGGGCCAGAGATTTAGCTCAGTGGTTCTGCCCCTACCAACAAACGCAAAGGTTCCAAGTTTGATCCCTACTACAAAAAAAAAAAGCCATGGAAGACATAACTTTTTATCATTTATCCAATATGTAATAAATAATAAAAAAGCTCCTGTATGAGGAAAAATAATATTTCAGAGGCGAGATCAAAAGGATTAATAAAACTAGTTTTTCATTCTTGAATTTGCATGTCATGTTTGTGCAGGGGCTGGCCAAGCTAATCTTTTCTGTATCATTCCAATTTTTAGTATCTGTTCTGCTGAAGTGAGCAGAGTTTTTAATTCTCTTATGGCAAGGATGTAGGGATGGCAAATGAGTCAGATTACAGAACTGAGAATCTAAGAGAATAATAAGTTTTCTCTTTCAAATGTTGAAAATACTTGTGTTACTCTAGGCAGAGGACTAAAAATAAAAAATTATTTTAAAATACACAGTAGCAGCAGCAGTGGTGCAGTATTTCTCATTACAGATCAGAAACACATGGAGAGCTTATAAAACTCCCCAAAGCCAGTCTGCCCCCAGAGCAATTAAGTCACAATGTCTCTGGCATCAGTAATTTTTAAAAGCTCCTTAAGCAAATCCATGTTCAGCTGTGGTCAAAAACCATTTCTATAATTCTTTTTTTTTTTTAATATATAAACTGGGGATTGAGTTCAGGACCTTGTACTTAGGAGACAGGTGGCGGTGCCACTGAGCTATATCCTCAGCCCTAAGAACCATTTCTATTGGCAGTAAATTGTCCCAATTAGAAATACTCCAAAACTGACTGGCTAGTATTTCAAAAGATAATACATGGAGATGGCTATTAAGATTTGTTTCAATCTTTCTATTAATCTTTGATCAACACTAAAGATTTTGATCATCAAATGAAGTGGATGTTCACCGATGAAATTAGTGGCTCATTAAATAGCAAAGTGGAGCTGCACTGATGAAATTCACTGCATTAGTCTAGTTATATAGACTAGCTAAATTAATTTAGACATATTCTACTCTGCACTGGGGAAAGAGTAGACTCTGAAGAGACATATATCCTTAAGTGGTACACATCAGGTTTAATCCCTAAATTATCTGGCGATCCTGAGACAATATCTTGTCTTTAAAATACTGTTTTATCTAGCCAGGATGACCATTTTATATAACAACAGAAAACCAGGGCTTCATCAGATTTAAGGAACTAGCTATAATAAATATTTATGCACGCTGGCTCATTGTTTTAATGTTTGCTTATGTCAGAATCTGCATTATATAACAAATTAACAACCAAGATAATTACAAAAGGACCAAGATTTGGCCATGTACAAATTGGTTTTGGGTAATTTCTAATAACCAGAATGACCACCAAAACTTTAAAGCATCACGAACATATCCTGGGAAAGTTTTTGGACTAAAGAAGTAGATTAATTCAGTCAAACCAAGCATACACTGACAAGAACAGCCTATAAAATAAAACAGGAGAGGATGCTTAGACTTCAAGTGTTCTAAGATTCTTAAATTGTTCAGAATGAGGATAAGATATTTAGTGGTTTTAGGCTTCTGTAAGTTAAATATGTATATTAAAATTTTCTAGAATAACCACTTAAGGAATAGTATCAGAATAAATAGCTTCTAAGCCGGGAATTTAGCTCAGTGGTTCCACTGCCTGTCTCGCAAGTGCAAGGTCCTGAGTTCAATCCTCGGTACCCCACCGCCAAAAAAAAAATCACTGAAAACTCCAGAATAAATAACTTCCCAAGAAAAATGAGGAGGGCCGGGGATTTAGCTTTGTGCTTCTGATGCCTGCCCCTCAAATGCAACGACCCCAGTTCAATCCCCAGTACCCCCCAAAAAAGAGAAAAGAAAAATTAGGTGAGAAATATAATCCCAATGATGATATGACAGAAACTGTTTCTTGTGTCTAAAAATTAAGAAACACACTTTAAAAGAATTCATACAGCAGAGAAAAAACAAAACAAAATGTCAGACAGCTAAAACATTATACATTAAGACTTATGAGATACAGATAACTGCTGTTTAAAGAAAAATTTGGAAACTCAATATTTTTGAGAGTCTGATAATACAATCAACAACTGATGTGAGAAACTAGAAGAGACACAAAAAAGAACTCAAAGAAAGCCAGGAGAGAAAAAGTAAAGAGAAGAAATGGGGAAAAAAGAACTGTCTCTGACACTAACAGTCAACTTATTATTTTTTTTTTTTTAACTCTGGATATCTCTCAGTTAATTTACCAAGCAAGGATCAGACTGCTTCTACCAAAAAACAATCTTAAATTGATATGAAGGTTATCCTACAAGTATAATTATTTACATAATATGCACATATGTATTATATAGGTACATAAATGTGTATATATGTGGGGTAAGCAAGGTGGCACTCAGGGTAGGGACAAGAGAAAAAACATTTCATTTTTATTTATTTATTTTTCTGGTACCAGAGATCAAACTCTCAGCAGGACCTTGTGCTTGTGAGGCAGGTAAGGTGCCAGAGCTAAATCCCTGGATAGAGAAAACATTTTAAAAAGAAATGGTTCTATAAAAAACAAAATAAAACAAAAAAAAAATGTTGAAAATGTCCATCTTTTGGCAATAATAATTTTAAAAAGTACAATCAATCTTAGGAGTGAAAAGAGGTCATGTTTATGTATGAAATATAAAGAGAAAATATAAGGATATTACATATAGTATCTTCAAAATATACATCAAATGGTAAAGTTCTTCGAAAAAAAAATCTAGCAAAATTATACATTAACTAAAAATCTGAATGGTACCCTAAGCATTAAAAAATTTGACAAGGAGCTGGGAATTTAGCTCAGTGGCACTGAAGTAGCCTGGCAAGCACAAGATCCTGACTTTGATCCCCAGTACCAAAAACAAACAACCCCCCCCCCAACAAAGTATCAGGTATTCATCCCTCAAAGAGAACTATAAAACCCAGGTAAAGTGTTACCAGTAAGAAATGATATTTATGCATACATACAACCAGCAAAGAACTGATTTTCAGAATATACAAGAATTCTTTCTAAGTAGGCATATACCACAACAAAGGAAGCCTGAATGACAAATATAACCTACCTCATTAGTAAACAAGGAAATAAACAGTTAAAATCACAAGGAGATGCCACTTTAAAACCAAAACAAAAATATAAAGTCTTGATGAGAATACAGATTAATTAAAAACTGTCATATACTGCTTCTGAAAATGGAAATTATACAGCTAGAAAAAAGTAATTTAGCATAACTGATGAACATGTGCATATAATAGTGTTTTTTAGCAGTACTTTTTATACTAGTAATAACCTGAAAATTCATTATCAATCAAAAGTGACAAAAATTACTACTCTAGAACAGTGAAATTAAATAATGCTAGAAATACAGTGTTGAACAAAAAAATGCAAGTCCAAAGTTATATAAAGTGAGTCCATTATATAAAGCTCAAAATATGCAAGATAAATAAATACTAATTAACAATATAAATATGTGGCAGAGCTTTAAATACCAAATTCAGGATTGCGGTTCCTTTTGAAGGGAGAAATGACAGGATCAAGTCACGTACTGGGCTTCAAAGATAATATCAATATTCTTTTTTACTTACCTACTGATATTTAAAATAAGTGTTTGAACTACATCAATGTGTGGTATTTGAAATAATTATTTTATGATAACAGTACTGCTGAATAAAATTCATTTATAAAATTTAGCTTTACAAATTTTTTTTAAATACCACAAAATTCCCCGCAACCATGACAATGAAATCAACCAAAGGCAAGAGGAGAATCTCCATATAAGAATGAATAGGTATCTGAGCATAAGCTATATTAAAAACTTACAATTCATAGCAGTAATAAGTTTCTTACCTTTACTGGTGAAATATGAGAATGTGAAACAAATCCATGGACGTTCTCAATCTCTGACAGGTTCTTCTCTGAGACATGAACCAATTCTGGTCCTATCACCTCATTAGTGATTTGTGGGGAAATGTGCTCTTGAGGAGGTGTATCATCATCCTGATATCGGTATTTCTGTAAAGAAAACCACTAAATATGAGGAATGTCTAAAAAGCAAAATAAATGTAGCTCAAATCATAGTGTGCAAAACTAGTCAAACAGTATGAACAATATGAAAAGTATATTTTATGGTTTAGTAGATCAATCTGAGAAAAACAGGATTCCATGTTAAAGTCATGCCAATACTTTAATAAAAATCATTTGACTATTAAAAATAACTCTAAGCTATATGAAACAGAAGCCTGACTATTCATCTGTCCATCTACCCAAAGGTAACTAAATCATGTATTTCTAAAATATGGCTGTTGGGCCGGGGATTTAGCTCAGTGGTTCGGTGGCCTGCCTTGCAAGCGCAAAGACTGGGAGTTCAATCCCCTGTACAAAAAAAAAAAAAAAAAAAAAAAAAAAAAAACAAAAAAACAACGCTGTTTACATGAAGTCAGCATAAAAGTCAGGTTTACTTAGCTAAATTAGTCTGATTTTCTTATTCCATTTACTTGTACAAAAATTGAGGGGAAAAGACAGCCATCTTAATCTCTAAATAAATTCAGTCCAGTAGAAAACAGCATTTTAGACCTATAAAAGAATCTATCTCTCTGATACACATATTCTTCTATTCAATCTAGTTTTAAAGGGCTAATATAGTTTTAAGAAAGCCAAAACCTCATACCATGCATTAAATTATAATTGTAGGAAATAGAAGAAAATGTTGCACATACTCTACACAGGCTGAAACAGTTTATGCATAAACACAAAAACAAAACAGATAAAATGTAAGTCTCCACTTCCCATCACCCTTAAATAAACTCATCCATAAAGCAAAAGCACAAATAAAGAACAACAGAAAAAGTTTTAAAGCAATATACAAAGGATTATTAGCTACTATAAGGTACTCTTAAGAACAATCAATGAACATAAAGGGTTATTTTTAAGTCATATAAATGTATCTAAGTAAACTTAGAGAAAAACAAACAAACAAACAAACCCCAACACTACTATCACTCAGACACATGGACATAAATCATCACATTTGTAGTAGGGGTGTCTTTCTGCTAAGTAGTTTGGAAATATGTTTCAAAAGCCCTGAAAAAGTTTTTAGTCCTTGACCTAGTAAAATTCCACTTCTAAGAACTGATCTTAGAGACAATATCAATGAAAAACATAAATATTGGTTGCGAACAGAAAAAAGCATACATTTTTAAAATATAAATATACAAAAACTTAGGGCCAGGGATTTAGTTCAGTGGTTCCGGCGCCTGCCTCGCAAGTACAAGGACCTGAGGTTCTATCCCCGGTACCAAAACAAACAAACAAACAAACATACAAACAAAAATACAAAAACTTGGACTGCTAAAAGTTACTATACATCTTCCTCCTGTACTTTCTAAACAACATCCTTCTGTAAAATGGTACAAATGCATAGAAAATCACAATCTGGTTTACATTAGCTATCCTTTTAAAGACAATACAAGAAAACTGTATTTACATATAAATCTAAGTAACTTCAAAATTAAAAAAAGGGGAATACTCTGATCCTATGAGGAAGGCTGAAATTAACATAAACATGCTTAATAAAATCTAATGCTGTTCATACAGTCAGTTGACTGTATGGACTATAAGTAATCTCATATTTTAATAGTAGATATGATATAAAGAACGAAATTCTGGTATCATTATTGAAATTTTACAGGCACTCCACAACTTAGTATGTACTTTAGGGAAAGATATATACATAAGGACATTCACAACAGTATAATTTGGAAAAAAAAACTGAAACAAATTACAATACATCTATCCCAGGAAGCACTATGTAGAAGTTGGGTAGAAATCTATAAAGGGTAAAGACATTAAATTATTGAATGAAAAAGCATGTCTGAATATTACATACATATGGAACTATATAAGTACATAAATATATATATTATATATAAATATATACACAATTTGAATACTTTTAAACAAAGCAAGTTTCAAAAATATCTTTCAATCTGTAAGTTTTCCTTTGACCTCTATTTTTATTTCTTACAATTAAAGAAAAACATGAGACACGTGACCTGTATACTTCTCAGTAAAATCACTACAGATATACAGGATTATTTAATGTAATCCTTTGGCTTCTATTATTTCCTGAAAATTGCCTAGTAGATCTGACAGCTTAATCAGCCTCATGTTCAGTTCGCTTGCTAGACTACAGGTGGTGCTATGCTCTTTTAACAGGAAGCACCTAGTATGTGGATATGTCTTTTCAGGATCTTAGCTCAATCACTTGATTCATGGGGTAGGGACACTGCTAAATGGTGACAATCTAATCTTTTTCACTAATTAGATGGAACAGATGTATAAAGATATACTTCACCTATCATTTTGTTACTTGCTGTGCTTCACACAGCAATAACAAAAATCAAACAGGGCTGGGGATTTAGCTCAGTGGTTCTGATGTCTGCTTTGCAAGTGCAAGGTCCCCAGTTTGATCCCTGGTACCAAAACAAAACACTTAAATTTGTCCCTTTCTTGACTTGTTTTCAAGACAGAAAAATGACTCCCTATTATACTCCTAAAGTGATAAAAACATTTTTTTAATTCAATTTCTAACAAAATTCCACCTGGATCACTCCCACCCCAAATTAATGAGCTGATCTTAATATTTTCATATGCAAAGGATCCAGAAGAGTCAAAACAAATTTGGAAAAAGAAAAATAAAGGAGTCATACCTCCTGACTTCTAAACTCACTATGAATCAGCTACACTATTCAAGACTGTATACTGGCAGCAAATGGACAGATACACAGATCAGTAGCACAGAATTAAGAGTCCAGAAGATAGATCCTTCTATTTATGATCTATTGATTTTTTTTAATGCATGCCAAGATAATTCAATGAAAGAAGGAATGGTCTTTTTAGTAAATAATGCTGGGACAAATGAATGTAAAAAAACAGGAAGAAGAAATTAGACCCCTTTTTTACATTATGTATAAAAACACAAAATGTTATCAAGAACAAATATAAGAGCTAAAGCTATAAAACTTGTAGAAGAAAACTAAGTATGAATTAGGCAGTGTCTCAGATGTGACATCTTGAGCATCAGCATTCAAGAAAAACAGACAGGGGCCAGGGATTTAGCTCAGTGGTTCTGCCCCTCACAAGGGCAAGGTCTCGAGGGGAGGGGAGGGAAAGGAAGGGAAAAACAGATGAATTGGTGTTCATCAAAATGAAAAAATTTTATTCATTAAAAGGCACTATCAAGGAAGTGAAAAGATGAACACAATGGAAGAATATATTTACAAATAATATACTTGAGAAAAGCACAGTCCAAAATACATAAGAAACTCTTATATACTAACAATAAAAGACAAGCAAATTTTAAGGCCAGGGATTTAACTCAGTGGTGCCACCTCCTGCCTCGCAAGCGCACGGTCTTGAGTTTAATCCTTGGTACCACACAAATGACAAGCACATTTTAAATCAGTCTAAGCATGTAAACAGACATTTCCCCAAAGATATACAAATAGTCAATAAGTGTATGGACAGACATTCAATATCATCAGGCTTGTTTAACAAAAAAGCCAATCAAAACCACCATGATACATTACTTCATGTCAAATAAGATGGCTGTAATAAAAAAAGACTGACAATGAACATGTGTGAACCTCATACATGGGTGACAGGAATATAAAATGTTGGGAAACTAGTGTGACAGCTCCTCGAAAGGTTACAAGGATAGGCCACTGTGTGCTCCTAGGTATACACACATAATAACTGAAAATAAAATATTCAATCAAAAACTTGTGCAAATGTTCAGAGCAGCACTATTCATAAAAGCACCAAAGTGGAAATTTTCAATTCAAATGTCCATCAATTTGTGAACAATTAAAATATGATACATGTTCACACAATTGAGTATTAGCCATCCATGAATTAGAATGAATTTACTGATACATGTTAGAACACGGAAGCATACTAAAAGAAGCCAGAAACAAAAGGCTATGTATTATATGAAATGTTCAGGCAAATTAATAGAGCCAGAAAGTGAATTAGCATTTCCCAAGGATTGAAGAGAAAAAGAAATTGGAACCAGTTGTTGTTAGTAAATAGGAAATTTCTGTTTGGGGTAATGAAAACATTCTGCAAGCAGTGGTAGTAGCTGCCCAAGCTTGTGCACAGAACTATATGCTTTAACAGGGTAAAATTTACCATATATGAATATTATCAATTAAAATTATTATTAAAATCATTACAAACTAGTGAATGCAAATATTTGACTCATTTAAATTCATTACAAAAACACTTTTTGAAGCTCAAATTGTCATACTGTATTTCTACACAGTGGAGATTTCTTAGTTCAGAGTTCTTCTGTACATGTAACTTGAAGAAAACCTAGTACAATGAGAATTACCCCCCAAATTTATTATTTATTGAGGGTTTTTTGTTTGGTGGTGTAATGTCAGGCAAGCATACTACCATTGAGCTACTTCTTTAGCTCTTTTTTTTTTGGTACTGGGGATTGAACTCAGGTCCTTGCGCTTGCAAGGCAGGCCACCGAACCACTGAGCTAAATCCCAGGCCCTCTTTAGCTCTTTTATTATTTATTAATAATTTTAAAAAAGTCTACCTGGGTTCATTTTAATTATTACTTAAGTATTTTCAAATACCTTTTAAGGCTCAAAATTACATTGCATAGTAATATTGATCTGTATTTCTTACTATCTAGAGTTATCTCAACCTACTTTCAAATACTGGTAAAACTAAAAACTTCATATAAACTCGCTGGCTAATATAAAAAGAATTAAAAAATTGTGATGAAGGAATATGAATGAAGGAAAAATGAGGCTTAAAAATGAGTACAGTAAGGGGCTGGGGATTTAGCTCAGTGGCACCGTGCATGCCTCTCAAGTGCAAGGTCCCAAGTTTGGTCCCTGGTCCAAAAAAAAAAAAAAAAAGTACATTCTAAACAAACTCTTTCATCCTTTTCTTAATGTTTTTTCTTGTTGTTGTTGTTTTTGTTTTGCCAAGGCTGG